AAAACGCTTTCAGAGCACACTTTATTTTCTTTATATTTTGAAATCAGTAGAAAAATAAAAACCAGTTAAGAAAGGTTTGACTGGTTTTTTAAAGCTCGAAATTGAATTTCAGGAAGAAAGAGTGGAGGCTCGTGGCGTGTTCCATATTGCCAACGAAAGTCAAAATGTACTATACATATCCCAATTGGCCATACTTTACATGTATGACTCACGCAGAGGGTCACTCAGGGTGAAAAGCAGACTCATATACTTTGAACAGTTCGACCCAGTTGAGAAAGAATACAGTCGGTGCTCACAGAATATGACACGCAATGAGCTACTCAAGTGTTTCTGCTTTTAAAAAGCAAGAACGAACCATAAGGAAATTTTATGATACGTTCTAGAAAAACGCGACGGTGATCTGAACAAAAAGATTTAAACAATACAAGTTTTTACCCGAGCTGGAGAGAAAAGTTTTTTTTTAGAAAATCGATTGAGCTACCAACAATTGAAATCGAAAACTACCAACCGTTATTTAGGGATAAATCTGAACCGGACAAGAATAGCAGGCAGACATATGAATGCTTCGTAAAATTATTCGGCAATAAATTGAATGCTAGAAGAACCTTTGATTTATAATTTATTATTACCTCTGAAAATGAACAGCAATTCATGTTGTAATACCAAATTACAGACCATTTGAATGAAAATCGATATCCAATGAAGTATCTATTGGGCTAATAAAATTTAATTGAATGGCAAATCTATTTGAATTTAAATATATAAAAACATGTCTCAAGTACAAATCTTGAGACAATTTTTGAACTTCAACATTAAATAAATTAAATGGACGAAGCTGAATAGCATTGATTTTCAAATTTAAAAAATAATGTTTCAACTTTGCATAAGAATAATCATTTCAAAAGGCAATGACATCTACGCGCTTGGAAAAACCGCTAATGCTCTAACGATTTGGAAACTAATTTCGAATGCGACTACCCAACAGTGGTCACATCTCGAGCGCAAAAATCAATTTTTCCATCAGTAGGTCTAAAGAATAACTTTCGAGGATAGTAGATCGTGTCATTAGCTTTAGCGATGATATTTAAGGGTTACGTAGCGAGGTTCAGATTAGCGAGAAGCGATTCAGCTCTGAGCAGTTTATTTATTACCGATCACACCTCTGCCTCAAAGGCTAAAACAAATGACTAATTTTGCTAAATCAAATAGAAAAACTAAGCATTATTAACGTTCTTATATACAATAGTCTGCTGAAAAGTAGCTTGACTCAAAGAAACAAAATGATGGCAACCCAAAATGTTGGGAAAAGATTTCTCTATCGAAAAAAACCATGCCTCCAAATGCCAGTATGTTGATTTCAACCTAACGAAACTTTCAACTATAATGGTCTAGCAAAACGCATCTGTAAGAAATCCAACTTCACCACATAAGCTTCGTCATAGTTTCATCTAAATCTGTTTTTGGTCAAAGAAAGTATTGGAATGAGTGGGCTTGGGTGGTTTGCTTATTCCAACAAATTTCTTTATTCCAAATTCCAAAAATAAATTCACCAGCGATCATTTTTTGGGAAAAACCTGGGTTTGAAAAAAGGCAATTTTCCCATAATCTTGGACTACTTTATGCGCGCTTTTAGGAACTCTCTACGATGCTGAAATAGCAAGTGCTAAATATTTAGGCATTGCGAATCATCATGAACTCAAAACCAGTCCAAGTTGAACTGAGGCAAGCTTATTGGTCTTATAAATGTTCTTAAACGCAAAATTCATCAGCTTGTACCTTAAATTGCCACTCAATTAAAACACTTACAGCTTCAATATGGCTGCTGGGAGAGGAAAAACAAACGAAAAATAATGCCAATAGTTTCTTTGCTAATTATCATTCTAGAACAAAAAAAGGGCAGTCGGTACATTCAGGGCTTTGTCCTGATGCGACCAGTCTTTTTTCCTTATACTTATTAATAAAACCTAATAAACCGTACCATATCGGACAAATTTTTGGTATAATAAAGTTTCTGGGATTTATGCAAAACCTAGCCCCAAACAGTTGGAAGATTCAATGGGCAACGTAAGCCAAAAACAAAACAATTTCTTTTCTGAATAATTTTCGAATCAATTGTTTCAACTAGAAAAACATATAACCTTCCGCTCCAAAAAAGTTTCAGGAAAAATCTCACAGATAAGATGGAGCCTTTTGTTGTTTTTCTAAGATCATATCCTCAAAGAGCAACCTAAATACAGATGGCTCTACTACAATAAAAAGCACAAAATTTTCATTATTTACAAAAAATACTGAGAAAGCATTCAGATCTAAAGCGATTTTAATTGAATTCTTGGTATGTTCATGCACAAAACATCTGCATTTCGAAAATATCAATTTACTCGCACCATCTGTGATACAAGAAACCAACGAGTCGAAAAAATGCAATAAAAAACAAACAAAACCCAAATATTCCAAACGTTTGTCTCAAATGAAACTCATTTAGATGAAAACCTGTCGCAAAACACAATTTCCAGCTTTAAATTAGCATTAACAAAACCTTTAACGACCAGTAATTATTCGGACAGAACTTAGGAAGACGCCCGTTGAGTTGGTAAAAATTCTCTCAAAAATCCCAAAAATCTTTTGAATTTTTTCGTTGTGTCATTATTTGGAAACAATTTTCAACAAAACTATTCAGAATTACAGACAGACAATTAGGACGACAAAGTGCCAGAAATTATGTCAAAACAATTTAAGAAAAAACAATTATCCATACCCTGAAGAAAAAAGTAGCCGAAAAAACTGTCGTCTATTTAAATTTTTTCCTTCACCTCCAGAAATTTTGGTGAGTGTAAAAGTTTTTAAAAAAGCTGTAAAGGTGCCCCACCATTATTGTGGTGCCCCACCATTATTGTGGTCCCGCACCATATAAATGCCGCACCAATAGTTGCGACCTAGGTTGGAAAAAAAGAAGGTTTGTACTAATACACTAGCTTCGCAAGTGTAAATAATCTATCAAGAAAATTACGAGCAAAACAATTATAAACCACATTTCAAAGAAAATTTCTGATCGGATAGCAATTGAGGATTAAAAAATTCGACACTAATCTTCAAAACAAATCATGTTAAAAAAATACAATAGAAGGCCGATGAACCAATAAAAAAAATCAGTGGACGAGAACACTGAAAGAAAATTATACTAAGAGAATTGCGTTTAAACTCACTAATTTAATTGCCACTCAAAAAATATCGAATGAAAGTTCAAACAAAAGTTAACAGAAAAGAAATTAAAAACGCAAAAATTGTTTTCATGTTTTTTACTTTTAAAAGAGGGCCGGAGAAATTGATTTTCAAATTGAAACCACGACCAAAAAAACTCAAAAACTCATTAAAAAAAAATTACGTAAATACGCCGAAAAAAATGAAGCCAAAACCTAATTAACTAAAAAAAATAACCGTAAATTTTTCATTAAAAACACTCGCACAACAAATTACTGTATCTACCACCTACAATGCAAGCACGAGCCTTACATAAGCAGAATACGGATGTGAAATTTGTAAATTTACACATCCATATGTCATTGCATGTCCGTTTTGCATGTCATTCTGTGAACAAAATAAATTATGGGGAAGAAGTCCAATACCCGATTCTAACAACCCTGCTTGTCGCAACAGTAAGGAAGAAATTCATGTTTTTAACACAGAGGGGAAGCTGCGCTTCGCAAACACTAGCGAGACACGACAAAAAATCAGCAATATAAAATGAAATAAAAAAAGTAGCAATACGCCTCGGATTAAAAAACTCGAGGCTTAGTAAAAACTCGAATTAGTAAAACATTGCTTCTTATCGTATTTGACCCTGGGACCTCGAACGTTGGGGTCTTACGCACTGCCCTGTCTGACACGAACGCTTGGCAATTAGCAAATACAGGTCACAAATAAAGCAGCTACATATGCTAATAAATTGCCAATGCGATGCAGCAAAAACGACACTAAATACGAATAGACACAATTTTGCATGTTATTAATTGGAATATTCCAAAATGAAGGCATCCACGATAATTTTGCATGAAAAAAAATGGAAAGCATCACGCCACATCATGTATAAACTATGCATTTTAAAAAAACTGCGGGATATATTGAGTTGGAAAATTTCTGAAAACGAGTTCATACTATTGTCATGAGGTTTGAAACAAAAGCTTTTTTTCGTTTTAATTGATGATTCAAAAATGCCTCAACGGTGTTAATTTATTACTAATCGAATGACAAAGCACAAGCTATGGAAAAGCCGTAAATATGCCACCAAAAGTAGCACCAAAATTTGCTACTTAGGTTGGAAAAAAGAATAGTCGTACAATAACACTACGCTCACTGAAGCTCGCAAGTATAATTAAGCGTCACTCCCTAAAGAATGTTCAACTAGCAATCAAATCAGGCAATAGAAAAAAGTTTAAAGCCCAAATTACTATTTGACAAATCCACCTGAATATATTTCAAGAAACAATTTACCATTGATAAGAAATAGATGACTTACAAGCCCATGAGCATGACCACCAAATCCTTCCTCCCTACAAACCTAAGCTTAGTAGCAGCACTTCAACATACATATATGCCTCTGTTAGCAAGAGTCTTTTTAAATATTTAAGTTAAAACAAGACGAAAAAGGTCATTGCTAAAACATGCAAAAATAATACGCTGAAGAACGATAGGAGGCACCGACATTCAAAAAAATAAATAATTAAGACTTGTATAGATTAAGGAAACAATATTCACTTCTATGATTTATGGGATTCCGTAACTGTTTTAACAACAAGTCTTTTATTCACTCTTACTTAGCTGGAGTTTGCCAACCAAACTTACAACTTGCACTCACATCTTTAAAAATTCAAGATTTTGAGGAACTTAAGAGAAAAATTGTGACAAAGCACTCAAAATCGAAAGTGACCAATAACATTTCATCGCTTTTCTGCGCGTAAACAGTCTTCATAAATTTAGAATAGACGACCAAAATTAAAACGATATATAAAGTGAATGAGATGAATGAAACTTTGAAAAAGACTCAAATTTGCGGAGACAGAGTCCGTAAAAATTATATTTAATTATCAATAGTTTCTTTACAAAATTAGCGTATCAAATGTTACTATACATGAATACGCCCTTTTGATCTACAGTTAGGGAAAAGTTTTCGACGCAATTATTTTCGTTTGTTCGTTGCCTACAATTTGATCAGACTCCCGTTACACTCCGAATAAAACCCGTTGAAATCCAGCCGCATCAATAACTGGCAGAGATACGGGTTCGGTTGGTATCCCATAACACTACTTAGCGTCTTATAGAGAGTCGATGACTGTTTGTTGAATTTGCGAACGACTTTCTCAAAAACATCCTGATGTTTCTGATCCATTGAGTCATCAATCGATATTTTCTCAATCAGCCGATGATAGATGTGACAAACTTCTAGAATATTCGTCACGCAGTTCTTCACAGGCGCCATTTCGACGAAGCTTTGAACCATTATTTGAGATATAAACTTCTCATTTTCAACTATCAATGTCTCATAATCTTTTGTACTATTTATTGCTGTGATGGTTTTTAGGTAATTGGAACTTATAACATCAACTTGTAGATAATAGTAAAAGTTTTCGACCAAAAACGACATGCAGGCCCTGGCATTGAAAAACGTTGGTAGCTTTTTGGCCAAACTTGATTTGCGCATCGAGATTAAATTGACCCATATTTGGTGCAATTCGTCTTCAATTAGTTTGATGTTTAGCAGGAATTTGAACAATTTGTTACATCTATCTAAAATTGAGGTCGTAAACACGAAATGTAAAGGCCATTGAGGTTCGTATCCAATCGAAACCCTGGACCAATTATCGCCACTTGTTTCTCGTTTGGACCCTGGATCATCTCCATTACCAGTCATATTCGGGCTTACCAGTTTGTCTAAGGATAATTTTACTCGGTCAAGGTCAGTGAACTTAAGGTCAAACGAGGTGACTGGGTTCAAGGTCGAATGAGCGCGTAGGAGAGCGCAGTTTACATCGTACTCTGTGTTTCGGCCAATTGGGAAATATAGAATTGGTTTGGCTAAGTGAATGAAAAGAAGCATGAGTTGTCCGTCTCCGAGAAGATGGAAGCTTCGGATCTGCTCGTAGGCGGAGACAAGGTTAGACTGCTCCACAATAAGTGACCAGAGTTCTTTGGCCACGTGACTTCGGATATCTTCTACCACGTGTTCAAACTCTGAAAGAAAGAAATAAAAAGGACGAATTTCTCCAAAATAAATAAACATACAATCAGTGCATCAAAATCTGAGACTTGCAGAAGACAGCCAACGGGATTCTAGGATACACATAGTGTCTGCCCCTACAGGCTGCAATAAATAAAAAAAAACTACACAAAATAATAAACAAAAAAACTTAAAAAACCTTTAACCTTTGGATTTTTCAAAATTCATAAAATCTAATTCCAAACTGCTGTTCACATCTATGTGCTGACTTCTCTTACACTGCTTCTTCCTTTATGAGATGATGCGACTGAATTTTTTTTCTTTTTTTGATAAAATTTTTCAAAGTTTTTTTGAATTTTTTTATTGAGAATTTAGTTTCTAAAACCAACACTAGAACGTTTCGATAGGTCACTTTTTTGTCCACAGAAATCGCAGAATCTTTCAATTTTCCGTTTGCAAAAGGTTCTGAGAGTAAATTAGCACTAGAAATTTGTGATTTTCTTAGAAATTTCAAAAGTAAACATTTCATTCAAAAAACATTCACAGTGCAAATTGTTTACAGAATTGAGAACAAATTTCAGAAGTTCGTAGATATGACTTTCGTATACAGTCAGCAAGTTGTTTTGTTCGAATATATCATCTCAGTGATCTTGCCGTTTTCGGAAAAAACTTCCAAACTTTCTTTTGCAAAACAAAAATAGGGTTCAAAGCAATGAAGCTGCGAGATCCGTAAATGAGAATCCCATACTGTAAAATATGATTAAAATTACTACTCTACATAACGATCGATACAAATTGATCGTATACAAAATTCAAATCTGCATAAAAACAGCTCCATGTGCTACTCGAGATCCTACCATACTTTTACACATGAGATCGGAGCTGAGTTAGTCTTAGTAATCACTTGATTTCAACAACTGCAGACAGCGTAAGACTCGTAGATCAACTCTTTACTTGATCAATATTTTAACAGTTGGAACAGAGTAATGAACGCAAGTAAACAGAAAAAAAACACTAACTTTGTTGCAAAAAATCTCAACTTTCGAATTTCAAAGAAAAAATTAGGCGCCTTTTAAGCTCTTTGAATTTCTAGAAAAATGTATGATTGGCTCTTGTTTGATAGCATTAACCCAACTAGAGAAAACTGGATCAACAGGTACAGTTTTTATTCCACTGGAATCTTAAAATTAAATTCCCCTCGGAACTAGAAATCGTTCGCGTTTTTACGAATCATTTCCACGTTCGTATTTGGAGAGTGCTATTTACGTCACTTTCAGCAGATACATTTCAATTGAACTCAAAAAGTGCATATATACCTACATGAATTCATAAATGCATTAATAAGTATGAATGCACATCTGTAGTTATTAGAGCATTTTAAGACTTTTTCCTAAAAAAAAAAGCAAACAAAAAACACCAAGACCTATATAAGAGTCTTCACTACGTTTATTACTCTTAAAATCATCCCCTGCCACTATAACAGAAAAATGCCTAGCTTATATTCACTTTCTACATTCCATACCTCGTATTGAGAATCTTTCCTTGTTTGCAAGATCATCCAACTGCTGTGCGAAATAGGATTCCTTGGCAAAGAAGGACTCGTATCTAAAACACTTGGAATGGCCACGCTTTCTTCTGCAATGAACTAACACTATTCAATTTTATCACAACCTTCAATATAACCAACTTAATTGATTATTTTAAAAATTTCCGTCTTCATTTTTTCCATCTTATACTAACCCAAGCCTATCTGATTTTTCTTGCAAAGATTTGCAGAGCAGAAGTCAAAAATCACAAAGATAGAAAAAATTTGAGGCTATTTTCATGACCCAAGGACCAAATAGTCGACATTTCCAGACAACCAAATAGCCTTGACTGTGCCAAAAACCCTTAACTGTCCAACATTCTGACTGCTTATTGCTTCTAAATTTTCAAGTGCTGAATTCATTAAATTCACTTAAGTTTCTACCAACGCAAGCTCAAAATGTACCAATATTTTGTCTAGGAATAGTCTTTTACACACCGCGTGAAAGAGTCACCTTACCTGGTGTTGTTGTGTGAGTCGTGTTGGAACATGCGCACAGACTCCCCCACAAATCTCATCTTCTCTGCCACGTGAGGGAGTATGTAAGGGGGGAGTCTGTGATGGAGGATGTGGAAGGAACATTTCAGATCCACCCTGTCGTCGAGCTCAGTCGGCACAACAGCAGCCACAGCCACAGCAGAAGAGGAAGAGACCAACTGGTTGTCTAAAAAAGAGAAACCCTGAGTCTTGGGATCTTGTCAACTATCCAATCCAATGGTGCCAAGTCATTAATTTCATACCCTTGCGCTCTTTTGAACTACCCAAAACCATTTGAAATTCTATTTTCGTAAGCTTTTAACTTAAGAATGCAAAAAATTCTGCGTGGTAAAAAAATTCTTCACGAGTTGTTCATATTTGTTCTTCGTACTTCACATCGTGAATCACGCATTTAGCATTACTAATTAGCAACATTTTTCTCAAAATGGAGAACTGAAGGGGAAGACAACGAGCCCGTACTTGTACTTGACGTACCTTCATTTGCTTCTGCAACTTCATTCCCGTCTTCATCCCCTGCCCCATTCTCGCCCACTCCTCCTCCTCCTCCTCCCCCTCTCAGCTCCCGCTTCACAATGAAGAACTCCTCGTTCATGTCCAACAGCAGTCCATGCAACATCAGAGAACTCACCTGGGAATTATTTTCAAAGTCACTAATCAATTTTTTTGGTTCCAGCTTCTTCGAACCCTCATACATCAAAATACAATTTTTTTTCGATATCGTAGAAAAATATGAACAACCAGATATTGCTTACACGCATTTAATTTTTTTTAAATGCTGTTGATTTGACTTAAAATACACTTAGGCTAGTTTTCCCAGCCAGCATACCTGAGCAAAGAACACATTGTGACAATGAAACTGTATCAGTCTTAGAGCCTCACACAAATCACTCTTTCCACTAGTAGTCAAATAATGCAGCAGATCCAATATTGTAACGTCATTCGCGTTTTTCTCGTCTATACTCTGACATAAACTCCACAAGTCAGGCAGTACAAACTGATATGGATAAGTTACTCTGTGCTTAATCGTAGACAGCGTCGCTTTTGTAGAGGTCAAAAGATCGTTCTCAAGGTCAACCAAGGTCTGTCTGTACTGGTTCAAATACACATTGAGTCCAGAAACAAACGCTGATCGGTACAAACTAGTTGCTGTGCAGTTATTTTCAACAAAGAGCTCCAACTTCATATAACAGAATCCAAGTCGACCCAACTGATTAATCAAAACTACTTCATGGGGGTGGAAAAACGGGATGTCTTCGTTCACTTCAATTGAAGAATTTGTGGTGTGAAAAAGACTGCCCGCTTTGCCGAACAAAAGGTACACTATTTCGTGCAACATTCGGGGATATCTGGAATTGAATTGTGGCTATACTTACTGTTCATTTGAAGCTACTCACCTTTCCTCTCACTTCTCACTAACAGAGTCATCTATGAGTTCAAGTTAAGCAAATGATTAATGAGCGACAATAATAAGACTTAATTGTTCCGACCATTTGAATACAATTATTCGGGTGTTTTAGTTTATTTTTTCTTCGTTTTGTTTTCTACGCAAGATCAGCTACCACAAAAATCATCGGAGATATATCACTTTATAGCCCTTACAGTCGTGATTCAAACGACATGAAATTTTCCCAAAAAGTTTTCCAGCGTCGAGAAAAAAACGATTTGAAATTTTTGGTGTTTCGTCTTAATTCGAGCACATGAAGCGAGCGAGAGCAGGCTTACAATAGCTTATTTTAATGGCTTAAAAGCTTACACAGAGGCGAAGCGGAGCTTTCCGCCACTTGCAATACTTCATAAAAATAGCCGTGCAAGCTAGCAGACAGGAAAAGCGAGCCGCCAGGTCAAGTCCAAACAATACATTTAAAAAACTATCAAAAAACACATTTCAAAAAACTTAAATATTCAAAACATTATCTGGAATCATGCTCTATTTGTGGAAAACAAACCCAGAAACACAATTGACGGCAATTAACATAAATTCGGAAATTCAAAAAATAATTAAAAAGCGGCAACTGAGCCGACGGAAGTTGAAAATACAATTGTTGTAATCAAAAACTGTATAAATTCAATTCTTAGAATTTTAGCATTTTTTGCGCTCCGGAACGATGCATAAAAATTATGCTTCCTTTGAAATGAACCTAAATTAGGTCACAAAGTCGATAAAATATCAGCCGAATAGTTTAAAAAAAAAACACAAAATATACGAAGTCAAAGCTAGTAAAAGTAAAAATTGCGGGAGTATTTCGAAACACTGAAAGCAACTACGTTGTGAAATGCATACAAAAAAATTGATTCTACGATGTGGCTTTTATGCCGACAAAACATAAGCATACGAATCATAGGCCGACATTTTTTGGGCAGAAAAAAGTTTTAAGCAAAAATATAAGTCAAGAAATTACAAACAGCCAAAGTGAATCAAAACACTAAGAGCAGCTACAATGAAAATTGCGTATGGAAAAAAGAACAATTCTACGATGTGGTAACTAAGCCGACAAAACATAAGCAGACAATAAGATAAGCCGACAATTTTTTTTGAAACGGAACATTTCCAGTTTGAAAAAAAAAAGTTCCGGGTCAGATTCGAATCCACGGCATTTGCCGTCCCAGGCGTACTCTTCACCTCCAGAATAAGTGCTGGTGCATAGAAGTTTAAATTCATTATGAACCAAGATGCAAGTGATTCTGTTAAGCAAGCTGTTAACACGAAAAAAGTCTATATTCCGTTTTGATAACGCTTGCTAATCGCAAACGTCAATACCTTACTTTAAACCTAAAAATATAACTTTACTCTATTACCGTTATTATTTGAATATTTAAGCGCCTTTTTGGAATTAAATTTGGCAACTTTTAAAAAATTGCTTACAATTTGCTTAATTTTCTATGACTCCCGAATATGCCTAATCTATAGTTTTCTGGTCATCTCCTTTTATCACACCACGCCGAAAAAAATGACACTAAATTGAAAAAAAAATTATTTTGTTGTATTTTATAAGACTAGTCAGAACATTCTGTGCTACTTGCACAGTAAGTCTATCCTTGTTTTTATTTAAATTTCATTAAAAACAACACTTTAAAAATGATTCAGAAACTAAAAACTGTTGTAAAGTTTTACCTTGACAACAAAAAATGCACATGGAGTCAGTATCAAACTATGTCATCAGACTATGTTATAAGAGGCAGTTCAACAGCTTCAAAAAATGTTGTTCAACAGATCCAAAAGTCGTCAATTATGGGCCTCTTGAACTTTTTTTCAGTTTCGGTACTGTTATACTTCGGGTACTGCTGAACGCCCACTATTATAAATCAGATAACAATATTACAACCCGTTTTTGTCTTCTGTTTAAAATACAGTCTGCATAAAGTTAATTGGAGCTTATTGTTAACCGTGACATAGACACAGAAAACGTTTTCAAATTCATCAATTCAGACTAATCGAAACTGGTAGCTAAATAAAATGTATGGCCTACTCTTTTTAACCAACAATTTCAAGATGAGACGGAAGTTTGCGCGTATTATGGACTAGTTCGCCAAAGTATGTTCTAGTTTAAAACGTGGTGCATATTTTTGCTTCTATAGCTCATCTAGGAAACCTTTGAACATGAATACCTGTACAATTTTTCAGCACGCAACTGATTAAACTTTTTGTTTCTGGGTTTAAAACTAGAAACCTACGATAGAAGAAACAAAACAGCAAAAAAAATCAAACAAACTAACAAAGAAAACGCAAGTGACGAGAATTGCTTGCTGTGCAAACATCACAAGGTTCCCATCATTGTAAGTTTCAAAAAAGTACAAACGAGAAACCATTTTTTTTTAAACTCGTGCATGCGGGGATTGAACTAAATCATGCTTGGAACATGAACAATCATGAACAATGCTTTATTTAACTAGAGTGCTCTTTGCAAAACCAATAATAAAGGCTATAACAAATTTTCAAAAAAAAAAAACAATTACAAAAGTCATTACGAGGCCAAACTGTGTATTTTGTGCATTGTAACCGGATTCCGGAACAAGGACGCTCTCTTTGTTCGTCTTTTGTTCTTTCATTCTCTTTGATCGTTCCGACATAATTTTAACATGTTTGAAGACTTGTCTCTGGAATCCAGGAACATACAGACATAAAATTGTGCGCCTATCTAGTGCACAGTTTGGCCTCGTAATGGTTTCAAAATTTCAAAAAAATTTCACTGCTAGGAGCCAGCTAAGCGCTTAGTCAAATTTTAAAACTTAGTTTTTCATAGCTAGAAAATCTAGTAATAAACAGCTTTTAGATTAACTAGCCGGCTCAACTCGGTTTTATCTAAACAAAATGGTTATTGAACTCGGTTTTTATCTAAGCAAAACTTTAGCGATATTTTAAAACAACAAGGGAATCACAACTGATACATCACTCAATCTTATCTGATCTCTAATTGTGCTGCTCAATTTTCCAAGTAGATCTCAGAAAAAGAAACGAGAAACAAAGCACCTAGCATTAAGCAAGCTTTCGTGTTTTTCAAGCGTCCACTAAGCCGCAACACGTGGTTAAATGCCAATTGATCCAAAAAAAAACACCAAAGAATATGGTTATCAAAAAAATTTGTGAGCGATTAAAAAGTTTCAACTTTTAACTTTTATTCTACCAGTCGATCTGATTTGTTAAAAACATGAATAAAAGTTTTTTAAATCCTTATATCGATGCAAAATAAGTTCACCAAACCGACAACAAAAACTGAAACCATTTAGGCCGAATGAAATTTCGAACTGAAAAAACAAAAAACGGAAAATATACGAATCAGCTATAGTTAACTTGAGAACGACACTTGAGACTGCAATGAAAACAGCGTAAAAAAATTGTAAAAAGAGGCAACTAAGCGAACAATACATAAGCCGACAAACCACAATCTGACTAATCAATTTTTCCCGCAAACTTCAGACACTGAAAAAAAACAAGGTCCGGCCATGACTCGAACCCGTGATATTAGGTTCAAAAGGCAACTGCAATACCTCCAGACCAATAGCGATGGCGCCTGGAAGTTGCTAAGTTTCGATAAAAAAGCAACATCAATTTCAATTACAAATGTGTAGGAAAAGTTGTTTACGGGAAAAAAAAGTTTAGTTCCCGATTACAAGACACTCGCTCTCGCAAGTGTAAGAATTACCAATAACAACAATGAATCAAAAAACACTTTCAATTACAATAAAAAACCATACAACACAAAAAGTAAAGAAATTTGTGGCAATCAATCATCAAACATAAGCCGATTATTTTTTCGATACATGTACGATACTAATGCCGATCATTTTTGATGTTTAAAAAATACAGGCGCTGACAGGATTCAAGCCTAGTCCCTTAACCGTTTACTAGTTTTCAATTTGATTTTTCAAGAACTTGAGCATGTTTGCTCCACAAAATAATTGAATACTACACAAATGATTCAGTGATTTTGTTAAACTAGTTGCCAACCCGAAAAAAGTCTATTCCGATTTCATAACCCTTGCTAATCGCAAGCAGTCAATGAAACATTGGAAACTATTTTTTTTTTCAAATGCATACATTCTAAAACAAATCGGAAAATTTGTCGGAAAAATTTTCAGCGGGACAAACAATTGGATCAATAGGTATTTTTCTATTTCGCTGTACTTTGAAAATAAAAATCCAAGCATTTTTTTGCTCCAATAAGCTCAAAATCCACTTTTATTAATAAAACTTAGGTTGCGCTTCACAAAATGAATAATTTCAAAGTAAGTTCCAAAAACAAATTTGAGGCGGAGCTTCGAACAAATTTTTTCATCTTGTACTCAGTTCAGCTGGAAGAAAAGATATCGAGCGACACAATCAAGGCAGTTCAATAAAGATTCAAAACCGTTAACCAAGCCACAACTACGCAAACAATAATTAGGTGCACGCCAGTTGAGCCGAAAACATTGTTGTCGTAAAATAATTTTAGCTATAAAATTTAAAACTCGAAAATTTGACTCCCAAACCCTTCTGAAACAACGATAGCATAACAATCAAAATTTTCCCTTAAAACGACGCAAAATGAGCGGAATAAGTCAATATGGCATAAGACCAACCCATTCAAGCGAGAAAAAAATGTAAATACACGAATTCATAGTAGGTAAAGTTACACATTACAGAACGACTTTTATTTATACTTATTTGTACGCCAAGAAGGCTTTTAAGAAAAAACCGAAGTTTGGAAAGTAAGCCGACATAAATTGGTACATAAGCGATAGTCCGACACTTTGAGTTTTCCTTCACTTTTCCAATCATATCGAAAAAAACCCTAAAGTCGATCCGCACTCAAACCCTAAACCTTATGTTCCGTAATACACCTCTTGACGAAAAAAAGCCCGGAAGATATTGAGGTTCCATACTCAACAAAACGAAGTCAACATCTTACAGACTTGTAGGAAAAGTAAACTAAAGGGGAAACTCTAGTTCACGGTAGCATGTGCACTTGCTCTTGCAAGTCAAGAAGTTTTTTTTGACTTGCGAGTCAAATACAAACTTGAGTTCCAATAGCCTTTTGAAATTTCTTCTGTATATATTGGATTTTAGCTGGATATGCCGCGCTCGAAACTAAACTCTGAGCTTGTGCAATGAAATAAAAGATTTAGTTACCTGAATTTAGAACGAGAAAAAAAAAACAAATATGAATGCTCGTATCACAAAGCCCTGAACGTTCCGGCTGCAGTACTAGTTGGCAACTTTATTTAAAAAAATATAATTTTACCATCTTCCGCCCTACGGAAAGTTTAAAAACATGATAAGCATTCTGTGTAGTAACGCAGAGCTGAATTCGATCAAAACAGTCGCTTCAATTGAACTTGGAAATGAAATCTTATATGTGCTAGCTGTCGTCGAGCGAATGATATACTTTAAAAGAAATCTTGAAACTATGCAAAATTGGTAACTTTCAAACTCACATAACTGAACAAAAAACGAAGCCAGAAAAAATTTTGTGCTTAGAAAACTATTTTGTGTCACGTCGGTGAAATAATTCTGACCTTCAGACCGTGAAATAGAGTTCAAATTACAACAGAATTTATAAAATTGCATTTGAACTGTCAAAAAAGAAAACTAAAAATATTGCACTTTTCAGAGGTCAGTTTTTTTAATATAACTTCAAGCTCTTAACTTCAAAACAATTTTCATTCGGCAGCGATCTTAGATGCAATTTTCAATCGAAAACAAAACAAAACGCCGACAAAAAGGCAAACACGTAGTTTCAAAGAACCACTTTTAATAAGTTTCACCTTTAACGTCAGATTGATTCCAAAAATCTAAACAGTGGCGAAGCCTCGCTTCGATAACACTAACGAGAAAACGACAAAAAGCAGCTCTACAAAGCGCTATAAAAAAAGAGAAAAAGCCTCGAATAAGTTAAATTCGGCTACGCGTCTCGGATTCGAACCTGTATCATAGAGATTATGAGTCTCACACACGAACGCTACATAAGTTGCAAACACTTGCTACAAAGAAAACAGATAACAGAAGCTTTGCAATTTCCAATGCTACAATGAAATTTCTACATAAGTGAATAATTTTAATGAACACTTTTATTTGCGAGTTTTAAAAAAAGGTTCGAAATAACTCACTACGCTGATCGCTTGCGTAAAAACGTCTGATCAATTTGTTAAAAATTATACTTAAAACTTCGAAAGTTGTCAGAAAAAATACAGTCAGCAGAATTATTGAAACTTTCTACAAGAATCAGAACAAACATCCATTAAATAACCCTATTGAATGACTGAAACAATAGCAAACTTGGTCTAACTGATGAAAAAACGGGACACCCACTTGCTTGAAGTCTGTGCCCCGTTTTAGCACATCCGAACACAAATTAGTGCATTCCATTTTAGGAACACAGATAGGCGTATTCTCCCCCAAAACGCTCTTATTTATTGATTTTGAGTATTGAAACGTGGAGGAAACCTTTTTTTTGCAAAATCATGACTATGTTTGAATCACACGGCAGTATAACTCAGATTAATTGCTAGGTCGCTTTGCAGTTGACACGTTACGTCAACTGTCTGTAGTCTAGAACGTACGCTGCAATTCTACTTGTAGAGACTAAAGGACGCTTTTAAAGCCTTTGCTCAAAAAAATACGTCAGACAAATTGATATAGATCTGTTAAAAAATCTCAAGACGCTGTTTGCTTTTGGATTTTCGTTATATCGCCTTTCAGGAGAAGGAAACGTGATTGTTCTTCATATATAAAAGCTAAACAGAGTTTCGCACCACTTCTAATGATGATAGCATGGTAAGCTAATCGACAGAAAACGCGGCTAAGTCAAAACACACAAAATTTGTCAAAAAAAATTTCTATAAAACTGTCAATAATGATTTCGATTTGTTTTGAAGAAAATTTTGAGAAAAACATGCCAAGTAAGCGAATTGAATTTTAAATTAGCATCGGAGCAAAATTTACGAAGCGGTAACAAACACGACAATACTTGAACTGACACCCGTTGTGTCAAACTTATTTTGATTAAAAACCTTAAAATTTGTTTTCAAGTCTGATATTAAACCAAATCGGAATTGTAAAAGCACCATTTAACCAAAACTCAAATAGAGCGGGTATTTAAAATGCAGACATGCTAAAAAACAGCTGTTGGTTGACGAGAGAACAGATTTGAGACAATGATCCATTGATTCTGCCACCTGAAACAAAACTCAGCGAAAAAAAATTTCGATTTGCTAATCAAAAGCGTAAAAATAGCACAAAAAAAAGCTTTTCGTTGTTCAATGTTTCATTAGTTGTCGATATTAACGCATATTTGTTCACCGTTTTCAGCGCTGATTCATCTTGAATAACTTCTGTCAGATTCTTAGAAATTAGACTTTTCCAGCAGTATAAGATGAAACAAATGCTACAAAACAAATTCTCGCCTATGCACTTTGTTGGAAAAAAAACTATTTTTTTTTCAAAATTAATTTACACAAAATGATTAAATTTCCCTGTACTAATACGCTTTTTAAACTAAATTACAAAATGTCTAGGTAACTCTGTATTTCTAACCATAAAATATAAAAAATGTTAATTTAGTGTCTCGCTTCTGAGATTTGTCCATGCATAATCAGTTCGGTTTCCAAATGATCGGTTTGTTCTTCGTCTGATGATAAAACAACTACTTCCATTTGTTCACAACTCGGCTTTAGTCTCGGACTTTTGTAGCTTAATTTGTTCACACTTGAAGTAATGTTATTATTATAATTAGAACAGCTTGCTCCAACCTGTTGCGTAACATTTCTAACTAACCTTCCCTCAGCCAGAGTTTCGCTCAAATGAGTTTCTGCTAAATGTGTTTCGAAGCTCGGAAAACAGAGCTTCTGGGTCGCTTTTTTCGGAGTCTTAATATGTGGAGATTTGGTCGAACACTTTTTTGGCTTATTAAATGAACCTCTAAGTCGAGATACATTCTGAATAATAGTTTCTAACTTTGATACGCCATTTTCTACTTGTTTCGCTTTCTCATCTCTGTAAGAATCATTTAAAGAAATGCAATCATCCAGAAACCTTTCAAGTAGGGATTTCCTCATACTAACTTCGCTTCCATAACCAACCTCTTGCAGATTCTTGCACGACGATGATGTTTTAATCAAAGATTGCTTCGTCTGTAGACTATCTGTAAAAGATTCGAACTTGTTTTTCTTTCTAACCGTTGCTATACTAACGGGAGAACTGTCGAAAAATCGACTCCTGTGGTCGCTTATTTTTGACTTCCAGTACTTGCTGATTTTTAACTGTTCTGAATGGTTCTCTTGCAAGGCCTCCAAGGTTCGTTTGAGTTGAATTGTCGGTGACACCTTTTCTGGACTAGGCGGAGGTTTTCCCGGTGGAGGGGGGAGATTAACTTCAACCTCAAGTTCAACACGGGACTTTTGGGGCGTCTCGACACCATGTGAACCAAGTGATGCCGCTCCGGCTACGCAACTACCCGACAACTGAGATCCGACTGTGCTTTGGGTTTTCACCGGACTCTCGGTCGCTCCGCATGCTGCAGGAGAGTTGTCGTCTTGACTGTTGATTCTGTTCCCACAATAAATTTGGTTAATCGAGAGCAATTTTGATCCGACCAACCTTTCTACGTTGTGTTGAAACTAACCTAGACACTTGTAAGCTGTCGGTTGTGGATGTCGTCATGTCTCCGGCGCTTGACTCAAAATTGTGCTATCCAATTCTGCCATTTCGACCTAAAAATATATTTAAAAATCTTTAAGATTACGTTTAATAGATCAATTGATTTCGAATATTCGACAAAATTTAGTTGTAGAACGTTCGGCAATGGATTTTGTCAATGCATAACACTCCTAAAAAAGGATCCCCATACAGGCAAAATTAGGGGTCCCATTTCATTTGTTATTGGTCGAGCCATAGAAAATGGGGAGGAACTTTGTCTTCGGATGTTTTAGTTTTATTATATTTCTCGACCATTAAACGCAGGAGGAAACTTTGTCTCCAGGTAAGTTTTAGTTTTTTCACGCAAAATCAGGTACCACAAATAATCATCGGGAAGGGTCGAGTGTTATATCACATTGAAGACCGTTCATTCGAAAAAATCGGTAGAGAAAAAACCGATTCGAAACTTTGATTTCTACTCTAATTTCTAGCATCGAGCGAGCAGGCATATTATGAAAGGATCAGCCGCAAACTTTTATTTAATTAGACCTTCGTTCAGATTCTCTGATCACACAATGAATAAAAAACGACACAATGCGAAAAACGAAATCAAGTGGCTACTCTTGTTTCTTTGTCTTTCACGAAAAATCAGTTAACACAATCAACGTCGAGTAATACTAAACCATTCCAGCCGTGATAGCAAAGAACAATAGTTTTGGAAGCTTCAATTAGCACTTCCTTGGCAATACGAGTTTTCAACCAAAAAACTATTCGGCACAAAAAACTAAGAAATTTTTTGTTTGTTTCTCATTTGTCTAGGATAACAATTATCGATTATGCTTAATTCATCAGTAACGTTCTAGGCGTTCGTAGAGTTCTCTCATCACAACGCTCCTAAAAACGACTGATATAAAAAAAAAATTGTTTTTAACTTTTTATGAATTTGGTGGTCTGAACATTCTGTGCTACTTGCACAGCAACCGACTATCATTGTTAACTTAATGTGATCGATGAATATTTTGTGGCTTTGCAATCCACGGGCGTCGAAATTCCATCTTGTTATGCAAAAAAAACTTTCCAATGATATAAATAAATTTTGTATAATATGGCTTCACAATATTCATAGTTTATTTAATTGCACAGTTATAGTACATTTTAAGATGACACAAACCACGCCAGTAAGCATTTTCACAAAATAAAGATAAATTTGACACAATTTAGGACACCAATAATTTACAGAAAGTCGTCGAAAAGTGACAAATCCGGATTTTGCAAATCCAAATCTTCTGGAACTTCAAATCCATCAAATAAGTTATCTGAACAGTCAAATGAAATCGGTATATTTTCGTCAAAGCCATTACTTGTATTTATTATATCATTTTGGGAAAACGAATCATTAAAGGGGGGATGAGTTCCACATTTTGTGGTGCTGTAATTATGTGAAACATTTGTTGATATGGAATGTGGTATTTCTAGGGTGGCTCTTTCGCCTCCATTTCCAGAATCTGGTCTTCCTCGGACATAGTGCTCTCCAGTGGATCCTTGGGACATATTTCTTTGAAAGCCAGTTGTTCCTCGTACGTCTGTCTCAGAACATGCTCCAGCAATGTCATAGATCCTCTCGAGGCAACGTGAAACTTCGTCGACAGAAGCAACAATGAGACCATCATCGTTAACGCCTGCAAAATATGATCTGCTTAATATTTGTTTACAATTTATCATTCAATGTCAAGAAATTCGTAATACATCTTAATATATCTTTAATACAGTCTAAGATACAAAGGAAAAACGTAATTTTCATAAAAAATGACACAAGGGCAAAGCAGTTTGCACCACATGCGATACAAAAAATAATGACCATCACTACTTGCAGATGAACCGACAAATTGAAACCTAAAAAAAAAACATTTTTTATCGACAAGCAAACTATTCATTTCAAGAAAATATGACAGTAAGTGAGACAATTGACTTTTAAACAAGCATAGAAACAACCATCACAAAGCGGCAACAAAGCCGACATTTCTTGAGCAGACACGTTGTCCCTTTCAAAATAAGTGGATAAAACCTTTTTGCTCCTCGATCGACTCAAAAAGAAGCATCTAACGCCTAACGCGATATATTAAAAGCCGAAATATGTCAACCAAAAAAAAAGAGAAAAACGAAAAAACTGTTATATTGAAATCGGAGTTAATAAAATTACAACAGGCGTGAAAAAATTTTTTTTGGTCCAGAGCCGAAGCTGAGCTCCGCGCCACTTGCGATACAACAATTATAGATTGAGTGCACTAAGACCCTAAAAATTTAGCAAACAGAACTTCGAACTATGTTACAATAGAAGAAGGAAGAGGAAAAATGATAACTTAAAAAAATGTAAAGGAAAAAACATTAAGGAAAAAAATTCATATAACGCCCACTACTCATCCACGATAGCAATATAAGTAGCGGATGCAAATCAACTACAATTTGGAAACTAAACCGACAGAGTCTAAGTCGACAACCATGAACCCGAAAAACCGTCAGTAAAAATTAAAATCAAAACTATAATTGAAAAAATATCAATAATAAAGATAAAACCTATGGCAGACATATACAAAACAAACAACAAATGTGGGATGAATCATTGAGGATTGGAAAGAGAGGGGGAATGCGCTAACAGCAAAGGAACAAAGGAGCACCAGAATTGGGAATGCAAAAAACGTAATAAACGTGATAAACTGCACAAGACTAGATGGCCCGGCTGACAATCATAGTGGCGTTTCCTCTCATGAGGCACACTGAGAGGCTCTGGAGAAGGCGAACTGGGGCAACACGAGCGTCACGTGAACCAGAACGTCTGGCATCAGCGAGGATAGCAACTGACTTGAGGGTTTTGATAGCTAAAGCGGACCAACCCCCGAGCGTTTCGACTGCTAACGGGAAAAAACTGATTCCTTGTTCCTCACAGTTTTTCTCGTGTTTCGAAAATTTGCGGTCCTCAGCAACTTCCAGGGACGCCCCGGGGGTCTCCGCCGCACGAGAGAGAAGAGATAACTGCAGCGGGGATGTCACGGTGACGTCGAAAGCAGCTGGGCGACCAGCGCTCCAAGTAGGGATAAAAATATCGCCGGGTTTGGACCGTTCTCCAGGGATGAGGTTCCGTTGCTCCTTGATTGGGGCTAAAGAGGCAGCCGAGGTAGCATTGAAAATAATGTCCCGTAGTCTGTCGTGACGGGAGATCCGGCCACCACTCCCCCCACAAGCGACAGCGTGGTCCCCGAGGACGTCCAGAATGCCAGACGGACACGCGGGGCACCTACGAGCAGACGCGAACACAGGAAGACCAAGGCGGTATCTGACAGCAGCTTGGAACTCAGCAGGTAGCAGGTGCAGGCCAAGACCTTTAATGGGGACTGCGGTAAGCCAAGCGCCGGCGTAAGGCAGAGAGAGCGACTGAAGACGAGCTTGCTCGCGGGAATCGGGAAGAGACGAGAAGAACGCGTTGTAGGTGGCCTTATCGAGTTTCTCTTGGAAAGCTTCTTGAGTAAAACCGGGAGTGTTAACGCTTCCAGACTGTTCACGGAAGTCGTTCGAGGCACGCAGGAACTCCGGCGTATCAGTGATGTCGCATTCGGTAAGAAACGAGACCAAATGAGCTGACTGACACGAAGACCCTAGGAAGGCAGGGATGTGTTGGTCGCGAGCTTGCCGGACGCCAAGTCCGCCATCTTTGATAGGCAGGGAAGACTGGGACCAGGCAAGATCAGGAACAGGTGAGCCAACTATGACAGAAAGAGCATCGCGGAGGAGTTCATCAAAAACTTGCAGGGAAGCTGCGACAGGCTGAGAGGGCGGCTGAGTGCGAAGAGAGTACGTCAGCTTGGGAGCAGCAAGGCAAGTGCGAGTGATGCCAAGTGAGAGCTGGGGGTCATCAAGAAGAGGTAACTTTTCAAGACATTTGGTGGCCTTCGAGATGCGTTTGTCCAGGACTTTAACTGAGAACTCAGTATCACCAATGGGGGCGCCAAGAAGCTCGAAGCCATTAGACGCTGCTCTCGGGATAGAGACGGGGATGGAGGAGAACTCCACAGGGGCCCACAACTCACACTTACTGTGCTTGACTTTGAGGCCGAGATGCAATCCGTTGGAAGTGATGAGTTCGAGAGCCTTGAGCAAGGAGTCTTCGTCGCCGGCACAAATCCCATCATCAAGGTACCAGCAGTTGAGGGTGAGACCGGGGACTTCCGACTTGAGAGATTCGACTAGAGAGTGCAGGGTGACCGCAAAAATGAGAGGCCCTAGCGGATCCCCCTGTTGAACTCCTTTCTCGCTGTTGAGAATGACATCCTCGAACAGCAGATGACTGTGGTGACCGTAGGTAAACTCAACAAAGGCGGAGAGACCGGGAAGACGGTTGCGAACTTGAAGGAGGATCTCGGTGCGGTCTAGCGTGTTGAAAGCGTTCTCAAAATCCACTGTTAAGACGCCTTGGTGACCATGTTCCGAGCACTTTTTGACTGTCATTTTAGTAGCGTGGACGATGGCTTCCGAGCCACCGCTGGTAGCGACTCCAAGCTGGTGAGGACACAGAAAATCACGAGCTTCAGCGTTGGCGGCTTTAGCAAGGCATTTAGCAGTGAGCCTTCGGAGCACTTCGCCGACCGCAATAGGCCGGACACCACCCTTGGGTTTAGCGGTGGCAAAGAGATTCGCACTGCACAGCCACGGAGAGAGACTAGAAGGGGCTTGCCCGGCAGCGAGGATGTTAACAACCCTGTTGAGAGACTCTAACGTTCTGGCAGCAGTCTTAGGAGTGGGGCACTCAACGGCGTGAACAAAGTGCTCAGGAAACCAGCGCGAAGGACCGGCAGCAGTGCCGCTCGGGAAACTTTTGAGAGACTTATGATCGAACTCAGATTCGAATTGGTAGGCAAGAGGGGATTCATCCCGGTCAGAATTATACATACATACTATAATTATACATACAGTGGTTTGAAGTCTATATATAGCATGAGTAGTAACTAGTACCCGGTAGTTAAAACTATATTGTCATAAAATTGAGCACATAAGCAGCATCGCATCGTAAGGAGCAGCTGATTTTGTTAAACTAGTTGTTAACTCGAAAATGTCTATATTCCGATTCGATAACGCTTCCTAATCGCAAGCGTAAATAGAACGGGCCTTTAAAATGAAGTTCTTCTGAAACATATTTCTTGACAAACATAGTTCGTTGAAAAAATACAGACGGAGATGACAACTAACTTTAGTCATCCTGTGAACAAAGTGATCTACCGGGAAAAATTGTAGTACCCGATTGCAACACCCTTGCTAATCGCAAGGGTAATTAGTTTTCCAAAAGCCAGGCGAAATTCTTTTTATCTTTAATTGATTTTAATATTTAACTTCATACTAACGCGAAGAAAGTGGCTCTGCTGCGGAGATACCTCGAGTGCTGCGGACTCAGAACTTTCTTCACACGTTTTGACTTCGACCTCACTCTCAATTGGATAGAAGTGCTCCAACTGATCGTTGCTGCAACTTGCCAACTCAGCAACTGCGCTGCCATTTAGCTTTTCCTCCAACTCTTGGACCTTTATTTTCAATTCTTCCTTTTCGGCCATCAATTGTCGACACACACTTTCCCAGTGGCTAACGTCTGCTTTGGGGTCCTTCTTCACAAAGCCGCTGTTTCCTACATCACCCTGTAATAATTGTTGTCTGAGTTTTCTGTTCTCATCTTCAAGGTTCGAGCATTTTTCATCGACAAACTGTTTTGCTTGATGAAGGGTTAACTTTTCCTGTTCAAGCTCATTTACACGCTTCTCTAGGGATTCCAGATAACATTTCTTTCTGTCTCGCGCAGTTTGCGCAGACTCGCGATTCTTCATTTTCCGACGAAGGTTCTTCTCATCTTCGCTCAGCTGAGCCAGGCATGCTTTTTTTCGTGGTGGTTTGTTGTCATCTTCACTTTGATTATCATGATCACTGGATGCGTAATCATGAAAAGCAGTCAGAAAAACATCATTCCTCTGAATTGGCTCGTCTTTCACTTGAAGAGGTACAATCGGAGGTCGAACTGTTGGGTGAACTACCAATTTTTTCTTCGCATTGATATCAGCGCTGGATAACACTATATAACTTCTTCTTTGATCCATTGCCCATAAAAGCCAAAAACATGAGTATCCTGAATCAGAATTAAATGGTCGACATATGAAAAATCAGCTGAAAAAAAAACGTATATCTAATAGTACACGTATGCTAGTAACGTTTCTAAAATATAGAAGGGTCCCTGCGGTAACCTGCATTGGCCTCAAATTATTCGGAACGGCAAGTTTTTTCATTTCATTACAATTAGCAGTTTTGGTGAAAAACTGATGGAAATCATACTTCGTACTTGTTTTGTTCAAAGACCCATCGAGAGCATAGTTGTAAGCTACTAAATTTCTCGAAATTAAGTGCCAAACAATACGAATCCTCCCATTACGAGACCCAATTTTCCTTGACACGACGAATAAACTCAAAAAAGACACAAACTCATGGAAATATGAAGAAGAAGAAGAAGAAGAAGAAAGAACACCTGAATTACTATACACTAAAAGCCGAGGCATCAGTATAGCAAAGTGTAAATAATAAAGTTGGTTAAAATTCATTGGTTACATCAAACAAAAACACAACATCAGAAAACAAGCAATAAACAAAACAAAACAAGTTCGGTAACAGTTCAGAAATTGGTTGATTAAATATGAAGTTACGGATACTAAATAAACATAATTTTTTCTTGAATCCTGTTCTCGATTTTTCTAAATTGCGCAAAATTATGGGCAGTGAATTCCATTTTTTAGAAGTCAAATGAAAAAATGATTTTTGTAGAGAAGTGGTTGAACAATGTTTGTCAAAAATATTTGTTTCGTTCTTTTGTTGAGCCTATAATTGGCAGTCGGTAGTCTCAATGTATTTTGAAAAGCCTTCTTTTTGTTTGTAAGATATTGGTATGAGTATGTTATACACTTTAACTCAATTTTTTTCTCGATTACAATGAACGATTTGCTAAAGCGAAGAACGGAAGAAGATTTAAATTTCGATCTGAAATATGTTCTTTTTAACGCCCAGTTCAACTGTTTCTCTAGAGATAGCATCAAAGTAGCATTAATTTGTATTCAAAATATTGCTGAATGATCTAAATGTGATAAAACAAGACAATGAAGCAAGGCAACTAATGATAATGTCGGCAGTTGCTGACCAATTGTATCTATAGTTTTAATTCCTTGTGCCATTTTTTGGAGAATTGTTTTAATTTGAGCATGAAAAGATAAACTTGAATCAAGAATAAGGCCTAAATATTTGCATTCTGATTTTTTGGCTACATAATGCCCATTAATTATTATTGTATCAGTATCTACATTTTTGCTATCTTTTTTTTGACAACTGTAACATTCGCCCAAATACTACACAGCGACGGAGCGTAGAAAAAGTACCTATTAACGACTGGCAGGCGTCAGTTACCATAATTCTACTTGTTTTTCACCGTCTCGACCTTGCCAGTTGATTTTCTGGTCTGTTTAGGGCTAAGTAAAAAGCTACTATTTGTAGGCTATCAGTCAAACGACTTTTGATCAGCTTTCAAGGCTCCCAGCAACGGTTCCACCTCCATCATAATTCTATGCAAATCGTCTTTCTCTTCTATGGTGGGGAATTCAGTGGGTAACGCTCCACTCGCTTTCTGCTTCTGGAACTTTCTGCTTCTGGAACACATTACCTTCGTCCAACCTCATGAACTCTTCACCCACTACGTCTTGCAACTCGCCTTCAGATCTCTTCGGGACTGCCCAAAGGATCTTCGCCAACAAATCATATGACCTCTCCGACATTCTGGCCAACCTCACGCACTTTGGCACAGAGAAAAGTTGGTCAATCAACACCTGCTGCGTCCTCGCATCCATCACCACCATGTGTGCAGGATACCTACTATTGCAATATGGTGTATCAGTGATGTCGCATTCGGTAAGAAACGAGACCAAATGAGCTGACTGACACGAAGACCCTAGGAAGGCAGGGATGTGTTGGTCGCGAGCTTGCCGGACGCCAAGTCCGCCATCTTTGATAGGCAGGGAAGACTGGGACCAGGCAAGATCAGGAACAGGTGAGCCAACTATGACAGAAAGAGCATCGCGGAGGAGTTCATCAAAAACTTGCAGGGAAGCTGCGACAGGCTGAGAGGGCGGCTGAGTGCGAAGAGAGTACGTCAGCTTGGGAGCAGCAAGGCAAGTGCGAGTGATGCCAAGTGAGAGCTGGGGGTCATCAAGAAGAGGTAACTTTTCAAGACATTTGGTGGCCTTCGAGATGCGTTTGTCCAGGACTTTAACTGAGAACTCAGTATCACCAATGGGGGCGCCAAGAAGCTCGAAGCCATTAGACGCTGCTCTCGGGATAGAGACGGGGATGGAGGAGAACTCCACAGGGGCCCACAACTCACACTTACTGTGCTTGACTTTGAGGCCGAGATGCAATCCGTTGGAAGTGATGAGTTCGAGAGCCTTGAGCAAGGAGTCTTCGTCGCCGGCACAAATCCCATCATCAAGGTACCAGCAGTTGAGGGTGAGACCGGGGACTTCCGACTTGAGAGATTCGACTAGAGAGTGCAGGGTGACCGCAAAAATGAGAGGCCCTAGCGGATCCCCCTGTTGAACTCCTTTCTCGCTGTTGAGAATGACATCCTCGAACAGCAGATGACTGTGGTGACCGTAGGTAAACTCAACAAAGGCGGAGAGACCGGGAAGACGGTTGCGAACTTGAAGGAGGATCTCGGTGCGGTCTAGCGTGTTGAAAGCGTTCTCAAAATCCACTGTTAAGACGCCTTGGTGACCATGTTCCGAGCACTTTTTGACTGTCATTTTAGTAGCGTGGACGATGGCTTCCGAGCCACCGCTGGTAGCGACTCCAAGCTGGTGAGGACACAGAAAATCACGAGCTTCAGCGTTGGCGGCTTTAGCAAGGCATTTAGCAGTGAGCCTTCGGAGTACTTCGCCGACCGCAATAGGCCGGACACCACCCTTGGGTTTAGCGGTGGCAAAGAGATTCGCACTGCACAGCCACGGAGAGAGACTAGAAGGGGCTTGCCCGGCAGCGAGGATGTTAACAACCCTGTTGAGAGACTCTAACGTTCTGGCAGCAGTCTGAGGAGTGGGGCACTCAACGGCGTGAACAAAGTGCTCAGGAAACCAGCGCGAAGGACCGGCAGCAGTGCCGCTCGGGAAACTTTTGAGAGACTTATGATCGAACTCAGATTCGAATTGGTAGGCAAGAGGGGATTCATCCCGGCCAGAATTATACATACATACTATAATTATACATACAGTGGTTTGAAGTCTATATATAGCATGAGTAGTAACTAGTACCCGGTAGTTAAAACTATATTGTCATAAAATTGAGCACACAAGCAGCATCGCATCGTAAGGAGCAGCTGATTTTGTTAAACTAGTTGTTAACTCGAAAATGTCTATATTCCGATTCGATAACGCTTCCTAATCGCAAGCGTAAATAGAACGGGCCTTTAAAATGAAGTTCTTCTGAAACATATTTCTTGACAAACATAGTTCGTTGAAAAAATACAGACGGAGATGACAACTAACTTTAGTCATCCTGTGAACAAAGTGATCTACCGGGAAAAATTGTAGTACCCGATTGCAACACCCTTGCTAATCGCAAGGGTAATTAGTTTTCCAAAAGCCAGGCGAAATTCTTTTTATCTTTAATTGATTTTAATATTTAACTTCATACTAACGCGAAGAAAGTGGCTCTGCTGCGGAGATACCTCGAGTGCTGCGGACTCAGAACTTTCTTCACACGTTTTGACTTCGACCTCACTCTCAATTGGATAGAAGTGCTCCAACTGATCGTTGCTGCAACTTGCCAACTCAGCAACTGCGCTGCCATTTAGCTTTTCCTCCAACTCTTGGACCTTTATTTTCAATTCTTCCTTTTCGGCCATCAATTGTCGACACACACTTTCCCAGTGGCTAACGTCTGCTTTGGGGTCCTTCTTCACAAAGCCGCTGTTTCCTACATCACCCTGTAATAATTGTTGTCTGAGTTTTCTGTTCTCATCTTCAAGGTTCGAGCATTTTTCATCGACAAACTGTTTTGCTTGATGAAGGGTTAACTTTTCCTGTTCAAGCTCATTTACACGCTTCTCTAGGGATTCCAGATAACATTTCTTTCTGTCTCGCGCAGTTTGCGCAGACTCGCGATTCTTCATTTTCCGACGAAGGTTCTTCTCATCTTCGCTCAGCTGAGCCAGGCATGCTTTTTTTCGTGGTGGTTTGTTGTCATCTTCACTTTGATTATCATGATCACTGGATGCGTAATCATGAAAAGCAGTCAGAAAAACATCATTCCTCTGAATTGGCTCGTCTTTCACTTGAAGAGGTACAATCGGAGGTCGAACTGTTGGGTGAACTACCAATTTTTTCTTCGCATTGATATCAGCGCTGGATAACACTTTATAACTTCTTCTTTGATCCATTGCCCATAAAAGCCAAAAACATGAGTATCCTGAATCAGAATTAAATGGTCGACATATGAAAAATCAGCTGAAAAAAAAACGTATATCTAATAGTACACGTATGCTAGTAACGTTTCTGAAATATAGAAGGGTCCCTGCGGTAACCTGCATTGGCCTCAAACTATTCGGAACGGCAAGTTTTTTCATTTCATTACAATTAGCAGTTTTGGTGAAAAACTGATGGAAATCATACTTCGTACTTGTTTTGTTCAAAGACCCATCGAGAGCATAGTTGTAAGCTACTAAATTTCTCGAAATTAAGTGCCAAACAATACGAATCCTCCCATTACGAGACCCAATTTTCCTTGACACGACGAATAAACTCAAAAAAGACACAAACTCATGGAAATATGAAGAAGAAGAAGAAGAAGAAAGAACACCTGAATTACTATACACTAAAAGCCGAGGCATCAGTATAGCAAAGTGTAAATAATAAAGTTGGTTAAAATTCATTGGTTACATCAAACAAAAACACAACATCAGAAAACAAGCAATAAACAAAACAAAACAAGTTCGGTAACAGTTCAGAAATTGGTTGATTAAATATGAAGTTACGGATACTAAATAAACATAATTTTTTCTTGAATCCTGTTCTCGATTTTTCTAAATTGCGCAAAATTATGGGCAGTGAATTCCATTTTTTAGAAGTCAAA